CAGATTTTTCTCTTCATGAGTTTTTGCTTTTACCTTCCGGTCACTATCAGTTGTTTGCAATTGTGCCCTCTCATCAAGAGGCAGTGGTTCTTCAAGACATGCATGTTGGGGTTGAGTTTCTTGGCTCTTTTGTTTATTCAGTGTCTCCTTAGTTTGTGCATATGTAGTAAAATTTTCTAAGGTATCTTTTACAGGCTTTGAGTCCACTGTCCTAGGTATTCTGTCCAACTTTCTACAATCAGATTGTTCAACAAGAGAGCATGTTAGCTGTGCAGCTTTAACAGTTTTTAAGGACCTATCTCTCTCAAACCCTATATTCCTCTTAAAATATGATGGACTAAGTCTGGCCAGATCTCTTTTGATTTGTAAGCTTTGTCTTCTTGATGATGGAAGATCAGGTGACTTGCTCATGGCAACTAACGTTTCCAGTCTCTTACGTGAACGTGTCTGAGGGGATCGCTGTTCGGTGGCTACATGCTGTCGTAAAAGCTCATTAAGGTTGTAATCTTTGTCACTACTGTTGTGTAGCACAGTTGTTATTATCTCTGTCAAATGTGTGTCATCTGTCTTGGAGATTTGACTGGCATGGGTAAGATGATTTTGTTCCTTCTCTGAAGGTTGGATACTTCTGAGCTTTTCAGTGACTCTATCCATTAGATCTCCTATAAAAGACCCACACTGGTGATCATTCTCCTTCTCTGCTTGTGTATGCAACAGTACAACCTTTTCACAACATTCATCAGGAGATCCCACACGAAGAGAAGTGTTAGAGTACAAAGCTGTATCTTCATCCTCGGTTCTGTGAGGTAAGAGAGAAGGAGGTGCCATGTTTAATGACTTGCAGTCCTGAATTTGTAAGATACTGGACTTGACAGCCATTTTACAGTCCAGGTCCACTGGCTTTGGTGATAGTGGTGGTGGGGAGGGGCTACGGCTTCCTTTGCATCTATTGTGAGAGTTACAATCACCCTGATGGGTGATTAGAGTTTCTCTTACATGAGAAATGTAGGTATGATCACCATTGTGCTGAAGCTGGCATGAGGGTAGTTTTAAGTGAGTACAACAAACAGTGGGATTAGAACAGATATCTTGGCCAACACATGCCATAGATGTATTTTGGCAGGAATTGCCATGAATGTTCCTCAGACAGACGCATAGAGGAGAAAATGCATTTGCTGGAAGCCTACAAGCTTTTCTGCAACAAATGCCAGCAGTTACTGAGCAGTCACTTAATGAAAGTATTGGGGCCTCATTAAGTGATTTTTTATCAGCATGGCAACAGAGAGAGCCAGCCTTAAACTGTCTTCTGTGAGCATCCCGCAGTGTTACAGAGATGTTATAATCTTCCTGCGTGTCCTTTAAAAAATGATAGAGTAGCAGTCTATGATGGGAACAAAGCGAAGACAGGACCTTCTCCAACACAGTGACTCTCCAGACCACTGGAGCTTTAGAACCACCTTCCTTCTCCAGTCTGGACCGGTCTTCCACACTTGGCCCTAAGGAACTACATAAATAAATTGTGTTAAGTCATTACTCAATCACTGACATAATTAGCTTTTCATGAATGTGAGCTGAGCTTCACCTCTCATCTCTTTTTATTTTTTACTCTGTTGTAATGTGCAATACATTTGAATTGGATTAAACGATTAACAAAATCCTACCAAAAAGACATATTCCAGAATTATAAAGTTTGCATAGCTATATTTAAAAGAGCACTCCTCATTTTGTTAAAGGCACCACATGGCATTGCATTGCATGTTGTGGTCATATATATGCAGAATTAAAAATGTGTAAATGCCACAGATAAAGTATTCCACCTCAGTCAAGTTTATGCATGTATTAGAAATTTACAACAAAGTACAAACACCTCTGTACATGGAACAATTTTTTATTGGTAACTTGAAGGCAAAGGATGGCGATTGTAGCAACGCTTACACTCAGGAAAACTATACAGAATATTTAATTATTTTAATCAAACCTGAATAATTTTGTTTCCTGATGAATCAATGTGTCTCTTGATAAAACCAATTACAAACCAAAATAAATTGTGTTAAGTCATTACTCAATAACTGACATAATTAGCTTTTCATGAATGTGAGCTGAGCTTCACCTCTCATCTCTTTGTATTTTTTACTCTGTTGTAATGTGCAATACATTTGAATTGGATTAAACGATTAACAAAATCCTACCAAAAAGACATATTCCAGAATTATAAAGTTTGCATAGCTATATTTAAAAGAGCACTCCTCATTTTGTTAAAGGCACCACATGGCATTGCATTGCATGTTGTGGTCATATATATGCAGAATTAAAAATGTGTAAATGCCACAGATAAAGTATTCCACCTCAGTCAAGTTTATGCATGTATTAGAAATTTACAACAAAGTACAAACACCTCTGTACATGGAACAATTTTTTATTGGTAACTTGAAGGCAAAGGATGGCGATTGTAGCAACGCTTACACTCAGGAAAACTATACAGAATATTTAATTATTTTAATCAAACCTGAATAATTTTGTTTCCTGATGAATCAATGTGTCTCTTGATAAAACCAATTACAAACCAACAACATTTGCAGGCAATATGTCGTCTATTTTGAAATTAAAATAAAACTACCCCAAGGGGGTAACACAGATTTGTTAAGGGATGGAGGGAAACGTTAGAGAATAATAATAAAAAAATTATATACTGTAAATTGCACAGTTTTAAAATGTAGGATATTAAAACACACTGGAGTAATATGCCTTCAGTATTTCCATCTTATTACAATTAATTTAATTCTTGCTTTGATTAACCTTACCCTAATCCTGAAATGTTACAAATGAGACCACACCAAATATATTTCAGACACAAATACATGCTTAAATGACCAATTAGCTTTTAGTTTTCCCCCCATTTCAAGTTGATCAAAACGTCATAAAGATTAAATATATATCAATCTGCCTGGGATTAAAAAAAAAAAAGTCACATGTTGAGAAACATTACAGGACATGAAACTCACGTATGCATGCAAATGCAGTAAAGCATTTCACATATCAATGTGCAAGAGCAACAAAGTGCTTCAACACAAAACTAACACAACATTTAAACTTCATATTCTGATTACATCGAAAGGAATAACACAACACATACAATTAGATATTAGAATTAGAGGGAATAATACAAAATCAATCATAGTGCAACAAATATGCATAAATAACTGATTGCAAAAGATTCATATCCTGCACACGTTATGAATATGAAATTACACATACTTGGAAAGGCCTAAATTGGTGATATTTATCTATTTAATGATCCATCTATAAATCAAGCCAAACTGTTTTGAGAGGGAAAAGAGTTAAACACAATTTAAATAATTTTATATGCCTGTAACCACTCCTGAACAAACTGTCCCCATAATATGGGAGAAAACAAATTGGCTTTGAATGAACCATATTTGGCTCTATAAAAGAATCCTAAGGGCCCTTATTTTTATATAAAAGAACAGTTCTAACACAATCATGCGCTATGTTTCAATAGGACTGTTGTTACCCTGAGAATACTAATGTTTTTGGACTGAAATTATACAAGACACAATATTAAGTATAATTAGAACACAAAAGAGAAATAACAGAGATCTGCATTCCCCAAAGGAAACCTAACAGTATCCTATATAATGAAAATAAGAGCGCAGCACTGACAATATACATGTATATGATTTTAAAAATCTGCATGGCATTAACTCTTACATGACCACCCTTTACATTAAAAGTGAAAATGTGCCTGTGACATATCTATCCCCGAGAAAAAACTGAAAAATTTAAGTTACATTGGTAATTGTGGTAACAGTATATAAATCCATAATACAGATTATATACGATCCACAGTAGTATATAAATACTTATTTTCTTTTTCTCCAAAGATTTATGTAAAACTGCTACTGGCCTGCAAAATAACTGAGCAGTAGCTGTAAGAGCAGGCACTGAGTTGTTATTTTAAGAGCTTTGAAGAACATTCAGGGTGTTTTGATAAATGCTTTAAATTAATTAAGAATATATCAGTAAATCTGTTCTCTCTTTTTAAGGAAGAAGGGGAAGTTAACTTTAAGGAACAACAAGAGGTAAACCATTTACAGAACATTCCCAACACAAAGATAAACACATTAACATTGCATATCGAAATGTTAATATTTCCAAAGCTTCAATCACAAAATTTACGTTTCAGCTACACTTGGCAAAGCACTGCAATTATACTTGTGAATCAGATAACTGAAAAAATATGCCATTCAAAGTCAGTGTATGGCAATATTTTTCATAGCAAGTACGAAACAAGAACCTGTATCACAAGTATGTGTGCAACTTTTGTAAAGTGCAACTCAATATTATATTCCAACTATACAAGCTTCTAAATACAGTAAAAAAAAAAAAAAAAACGTCCATGCTATAAATATGGACTTGAGGAGTTGAATTACCAGTATCATGAAATGAAACCGTTGTATAATAAGCCATTAAAAGTTATAGTAATCAGTAGCATGAACAAAACAACAACCAAGAGCAGCAAAACTATAAAAACCAGGACAACAAAGCAATTCAGAGCAGCACTTGAATCAGGCTTTGCATTTCAGTCCCACTGTAAGTGCATCATGAAATATGGACAAGGAGAAATTCTGATCCATGTGTTCAGCAGCACTCTACTCTGAACTGCTTCATTCATGGAGTGTGTAAGTGGAGAGGCAAAATGACCCTGAACTGATATGGTTTCAGCAGACAGATAATGCAAGGATGCATTTAGTTTGAGGAAAGAAATTCAAATCTGAAAAAAGAATACTGAGTGAGGATTTCAGTAGTTCTAATTACTGAAAAAGTATTCTATCTATTGTTCAGTGTAAAAGAAACATTCACTGATACTGCCATCAAGCGTTTTTTTCCTGTGCAGCATTACATTGCATTTCCAACTTACCCCAAATGATTTGCTAAGCAGATTTGCAGGGGGGATAATGCAAGGATGCATTTAGTTTGAGGAACAACACAACATTATAAAGAAGAAATTCAAATCTGAAAAAAGAATACTGAGTGAGGATTTCAGTAGTTCTAATTGCTGAAAAAGTATTCTATCTATTGTTCAGTGTAAAAGAAACATTCACTGATACTGCCATCAAGCGTTTTTTTCCTGTGCAGCATTACATTGCATTTCCAACTTACCCCAAATGATTTGCTAAGCAGATTTGCAGGGGGGGAATGAAAAAGGGCAAGAAATAAAAAAAATAAAGCAATGTTGTGTGTGTGTGGTTGAGGTTGTGTGGAATAATAAGTATTTGAACTTACCAAAAATAAAAAAATAAAATCACTATCAGTGCAGAATGTGGGAAGTCTCACCCACAACAAAAAGCATGAGATGGTCCAAGCTTTCACTCCAATGATCTGGCAACAGTCCTGATTAATGTACTTCATTAATACTTCATAAAACTGATATAATTATCTATGTTATACAATACAACTTGCCAATAAGCATAGTAGTCCAAAAAGTGCTATTTACATAATAGTGTTGTTCCTTTGCTGGAGTGGAAACTCGTACCTATATCTACCCATTGCATATAAGGATGGGCATCTCCCACTGTTGAGTTAAAAGAGATGTTACAGTCATGCTGTCACCAGGCTGTCACACAGACACCATAAAAAATACTGTTGATAGACTTCAAATGAAATGACCAGTCACTACAAAGACTAATTAGTGTGAAAGCTGCATACAACAATCGTTAAGCTGAGATTAGCTTATGTATGAACAAAACCTGAATATTATATTTCTTAGTTTTAAAAGAGTAATTAACTTAAAAATCAACAGTGCTTTACAATATTTTAAATATATTCATATAGATATCCACAGTGAAACCCCTGAATAGATTTTTTTAAAGGCATGTTTTGTAACTTGATAAAATGTACCATTTAACCTGTGGTTGAGGATTCAAGTGCATCTTCCAAGTCTGAATGAGGTCCTGGACTGCATGTTTAAAAAAATAAATAAAATAAAATAAAAAACCTTCCTTGTTGGCTGTAGTTTAGGTGATGTTTAGTGAAAACCATCTCTAAGAAATAGTTGAGGTTTTGGTTTTGAGTTAAGACTGTTTGTAGGCAGTAGATGAGGCATTGGTTGTTGTCCCTGACTTTCCTGAGCCTGAGGTTGCTGCTTCAGCAAGACGGAGCTTCTTTTTTGGTGGGGTCTTGAGCGTGCCCGTTCGCTCTTTGACTTTGTACTCTATGGTGCTGTGTGGCACCCCATAGATGCCCTGAGCTTTCGACACGCTCATCTTCCCACTAATCACCATGGCTATGGCCTCCTCCAGGATATCGTGGTCATATTGCCGATAACGGCCCCGCTTTTTCCGTGGATGCTTGTCTCGACGGTCATCATCTCCACTGTCAACCACACTTCCAGTGACGCTTCCGCCAACGCTCCCGTTCTTCATGTTCAGACCCAGTGGAGGCATGTCACCCTGGAGTAGACGTGACTCGAGGCCCGAGTGGCTTTCGATCAAGCCCTGTTTAGGGAGAACGGTCTTCAGCTTGTGGAAAGCAGTGGAGCCATCAGAGGCTTTGTTGGCTTGGTATACCGCATCCACCAGGCCAGCCAGATCCAGCTGGGCTTTGTGCTGAGCACTTAAGCGTACCTGAGGGACTCGGATGTGCACAGCTGGCCCAGTGGCAGAACTCTGAGGAGATGTGGCTGGCTCGGTACTGGAGAAAGGCCCGTCGTTCTGCTCCCGTAGCTGCGAGACCATTCTCTGCAAGGTTAAGTGGTGAAGGTATGACGAGGCAGTCACGGCTGCCGGGAACTTTAGCTCGGTGTGCTCTGGTGACGTAAATTTACATTTTCTTACTTCAGACTGCTCTGACTGCGAGCGAGCCCATGCTGCTACCTTCTGCAGGACGAGTCGAGTGTCATTGGTTGGGCACACCGCCTCTGTGCCCTTGCCACTGTCACCAAAAATCGATGGTTCCCCTGCCTTCCACTCTGGCAATAAGGCCTCTGTCTGAAACTGTAATGTTTTCTGAGGTATCCCGTATAGTATGGCTGCTTTGTGAATGTCCAGTGATCCAGACCGAATATCTTTCAAGGCTTTAGAGAGCAAACCTTCTGCAAACTCAGAGCTGCGATCCAAATAGTCCTCTCTGATTGGTCTCCTAAGGGGAGGTGGGTGGGAGGATGAGAAACGTACGGGTGAGCGGACCAATGACAGGACACACTCAGGGTCCACTCCTTTACTGCCTTGTCTTTTGGTAACATCACTCGCTTCTCAATTGTCTGTATAACACAAAGCCTTCGAGTTTTTTGGGAATAAAACACTTTTTGTTTTTGGCCTTAGGATGCAAACGATACTTCTTGGAAGGACAGTCTCTCGTCAATTGTGTGGAGAAAGACAAGCGCTTATGGGATTACTTCCAGTATCTTTGCAATGCAGATGCATTTTGTACGACTCTGGTATCTTTTTTCTCATGTGAAAATAATATTGCATAAATCAACGAATAGATCAATAAACAAATGAATAAATACAGGCGGTACAAAGGAACAAGTAAAGCCCCTGACTGCTGGTAAATGTGACGTTACCTTCCAACAAGTTAGAAAAGAGTCAACCCTTTGGCAGTGCAACAAAACAACCACTAAATTAAAAATAAAACGTATCAAATGTATGAGGAGTAGAATTTGTTCACACAAAACAATCAGATACGATAGAAATGAAACAAAGAATTGGAAATAAAATTAATATTTTCTGGAATAAAAAGCTCATCAATATTACTGGTCAAAATGTTACCATTTTAGTACCAACCTTTTCTTTGGCTTTGGTAGGATGAAGATAAACAGTCAAGCACACAACTTGGTAAACAAAACTTGAAGTACTCACCCTGAAACCTTTCTTTGAGTAGTTTCATTTTCTGCTGATGTGTTTTTCTTAGAGAGGTCAAGTACTCCAACTATGAGAAGTAATCCATGAAAAAAAAAAAAAAACAGCAAATAATATCAAGTTTGAGGACAAATGCACAGGATCATTGCAAGTAATTAAATATTCACACACTCAGTAAATTCACCGTTTATTCAGAGTTGTGTACCTTTCAATGATAAGCATAATTCATGAAAGTCAATAGACCAGATTCTCTGAAAAGAATGAAAAATGTCTAAATATTAACAGTGATCTAATTTTGCAGAGCTACAAACTCCTGAATCTGGTCTTTTGAAGTGAAAACTGTTGTGATTTCCATTAAAAAAAGCCTTGATTACCTTGCAGGGCCTGAGAAGCTCGGCTGATGGTGAGGTCCAGAGGCCCATCAGGATCCAGTTGATGGGGGAGAAGCTCAGAGGTGTCACTTAGGCCATTCAGGCCCTCGTGAGCCTGGCTTTTACACGCATACTCTAAGGCAAACCTCCGAATCATCTTGCGCATCAACTCCTGTGCCATCAATGGTATGCTGGAATCGCAGCTCTGAGGGAATTCTAAGAAATTGAAAAATACAAAACTAGTTGAAGATCTCATCAAATTGTTCCTTATATAAAAACACATTTTCTACTTTTACTACATATTTGTCAATGCAAAACAATGCATTTCAAGAATTTAGAGTTGATTAACTGAACTTGCATCATGCATGCATTGTGTACAAGACAACAACCGTAACACAAATCTGAAATCTTGCTCTCTCTCTCTCTTTCTCGCCTCATTCTCTTCTTGCTCTCTCTTTCTCTCCTCATCCTACTTTTTGGACATGTGAACATACTAGTGGTGTCAAAATTAGCGCGTTAACACAGGCGATTAATTTTTTTCAGTTTAACGTGTTAAAAATATTTAACGCAATTAACACAGGGGCGGGGCTAGGGTTGGCCACCCCGCTCACAACTGCTGCATCTGTCACTTTTTCTCTTGACAAGAAGTGAATTTATTCAGTCGCAGAATGACAGAGAACGGGAGACGTTTCAGATGCATGCTCCACTTAACTTCAGCACCAGGCACAAGTCAAAACGGAAACGGCACTGTGCTCGCAGCGCGTGCTTTTCAATTGCACGCACAAAGGCGCAAGCGCATGCTGTAGCCTGTATCCTTTCATATCAAAGCGCGAAATAAACTACGTGCAT